CCCAGAAGGGAGCCCTTCATGTCAAGAGCCTTGACAAACTGCAAGAACACGGAGCAACGCGTTTATTGCGGCATGCACTCTCAATTCCCAAATTGCAATGCTACAATCGCCAAATTGATAACATATTTTGCAAATGCATTGCTTCCACTCAGAGATCGGACCATAGCAATGCGGAAATGTGCAGTAAACCAATCCCAAGGTCTTATTCTTCATTGGCAACCACCCGCGCATTGAGCCATGCGCCAGAAGCTCTACGCATTGCCGCGGGCTGATGCAGAAAACGTTGTGGAAAAGCTTGACCCTTGTACATGTGCTCTAATTGCTACCGGTAATTTCGTGTCTCCATTTTGCGTGTCATGTGGTAGGTTCTTGGTGGAATCATGGCCATCCCGCGAGGAGTGGACTTTGCTCCGGGCGTGGCGGCAGAGACGCAGGTACTGAACGCTTTGGTAGCATGGGGTTGGCAATGCCGGGCTGGGAGGCATTCTGTACGTGTTGCCCGCCTCATCTGGTCCTTATTTCAGCTGCGACTGTACTGCGCCCTGAAGCGAACAAGTGCGCCAAGTCAGCCAAGCAATTTGCCTATTCAAGAAGCGTGAGCTAAGGCTTTGGAGCCCCACCTGCAACGCGCTTTGGCTGTCCTTCCCTGCTGCACCTTGATTTCTGCGTCGGCGGTTGGTGAAACGAAGAGAGCGCTGGGACAGTTGATCCGAACGTTGCCAAGAGTTTTTCTGCCTGCAGATGTACCCTGATCGGCGATGCATATCGTGAATTTTTGTCATATGGCATGTTTCCCCCCCCTGCCCGTCCAGTCGCTGGGGATGCCAAGTATGGGTGAACATTGCCCGATTCACATTCTGTGCTGCACCTGAGAGGGGGTGTAGGTTCTTGACCTCTCGAAACTGAGAGACTCGATGTCCGGGTGCAAGCCTCATCCAGAGGGCGGCAGGCCCTGCAATGGCATCGACAAGCTCAAAGAGCTGCGGCTGCAAAAGAACGAGGCGCTGGAGAACTGGGATCCCCAACAAAAGGTGCCCAGCGGTTTTCGACAGCCTCGAATGTTGGCCATGGAGCGCTTTAACCCACACTGGCGACAAGAGCCGTGCGATTTCGTCAACGAATTCCTAAACGTTTGGACAGCGAGGTACCAGAGCATGTTGCCCTTCAACACGTATCTATTTGAGCAATCCGTGGTGGCCCTTGGCAATGGCTTCACAGTCCCCACCGAAGTCCGTGTTACTGTGCACAAGACCTCATGACCGCGTGGAGCTGCTGGGCAGCTTCGAACGCTGAGACTTCTCTGTGCCGCATGCAGGTTCTGTCGTCCACAAAGTCCAACTATGCCGGGCCCATGCATGTTGCCTTCGGATCTCGATTTCCTCTCATACAAACACAGCAGGGCGACACAACCAGGTGCGGCGTTTGCTTGGGCTGGGACCGTATGCGACGTCCGTCGTCGGAAGCGGGGTTCGCTCGAACATGCTGGCGGGTATCATATCCTGCAGTATATGCGGCTACGGCATCCATCGTGTTTCCGCCGGGCCGGGCTCCTTGTCCCACCCAGGTCCACACACACACTGGACCAATACATTACACGACACTGTTTGTCCCAATACAACCCGAGGTACCCACAACTTTGTGTGCCCAATCGCTTCGCTAGTAGTTAAGCCAGTCCCATACAAGACTTAACCCTTGAGTCAGACCCACCACTCCCGTTCCAATGTCCCTAACTCCCACACTTGCCCATCTCAACCGAACATCACCCTAATAGGGGGGGCCGGGTGGGAAGCGAAACAAGATAAGGTGGGGACCGAGGGGTGAGCCTAAGTAGCCTCCCCGCTCGCGCCCGCCAAAACCCGCCGCTCCCAAGGGCGCCAAAAACCACTGGCCCTCCTTGAACGCGACGAGCCAGACACTGACCCAAGGTACAGGGGGACAGAAACCCCAAGGGGCCGCCAAAACCATCGTACTTTAAGCAGCGCTGGCCCAAGTGGGCCAGCGCGCCCGCCCCTCGTCGCCCTGCGTGGAAACCCCTTAACAAGATAGTTAATCCCATATCTCAACTGCCACCCTACAGAGTAGGGCGGCACATGGCCAGTTAGCCCTGCATTCGGGTCCCTACCGCAGTGCTGCTCGGCATTTCTTGGGTAAGCAAAAAATGCTGAACTCCATACACCTCCGACTGTCAACATTGTAGCGACGAGCCAGACTTTGGGACACAGTCCGGCAAGAATGCATGCACACCTGCGCGTGCAGCACGCCCTATATTGAGCCCTGCGCTGCAACGCACAACAGGGCGCACAGGTCAAGGCAATCCAGGCATCAACGCGGGCCCCAGACGAAGCGGCCGGCAGCGTATGGAACCGACGACACCGGGGACGGTCCAGACACGGTCGAATCGGATGCGCAGCCGTCCGCAGCAACTTGCCCGCCAAAAGGATCAACCCCCTGCCCCCACGTCCAAAGTGGCCCAGGGACATCACCCTGTGGGCAGGAATGCCAGGATGTATGTCAGCTGCCGCGCATTGCAAACTGTGGAAGCCAGTCACTGCGCAGTCTGGCGCCTGCAAATTCACCTCCTGGGGCCGACGGTGGACCAACTGCAGTCTGCCTCAGGGGGAATTGGGAGCCCTGCCAACAGGCCTGCACCCCAGTCCAAGCTGAAGAGCAGGCTTGGGGGGGCTCCAGGTTTCCAGACATCGGCAGTGGAGGCAGGTTGAGGGCCAGCAGCAGCGCCAGCAGCTGCTGGTCCAGCATGGACGAGGAAGAATCATCGGAGGGATTCGATATCAAGCCGGGGGAGGCAAATGGCGGCGTGCACGAAATGTTCCCCGACGGTGCACAAGGGGCTCGCTCCGATGGATTCGACGGCTGGGTAACGACCAGTGGTTCCGCAACTCCGGATGATCAAGAGCACGGGCAACACATGGACACGTCTTCTGTAGCGGGGGAGAAGATGTAAGTTGCAGTCGCTTGCACGGAGGTGCGCAAAGGATTTGAGCTGTCCTTCAGGCATTGAAGGCAGGCGGCACTCCTCAGTCGGCTTGCCGTAGTATGTTCAGCCCATCCGCATAGCAACGTAATGGAGGAAACAATAAAATAAACAACGCTCTTTTAATCAAAATTTGCGCAGCAACGTAGAAAGACTAAAATAATGCTCTGAAAAAGAGAATCCGGAGCATAAAGCATAGAGGTAAACTTTTTAATGCGGAAGGGTTCAAAATACTATGGTAAGCCTGCCTATTGTGCACCGCAGCTGCTCAACGGCTCCCCCAGCACGCTGTCCATTCCGTTGCTGTCCTGCCGGCATGCATGTGACCCCAGTGTGCCCTTGCAGGGAAGGGACCTCCAGCCGGCTTGTGGACTGCCTGGTGACGCGGATTACGACGTCACTGGGGAGCCAGGCGCTGGAGGAGAAAGGCCACGCTGAACACCTTGCTCCCACTGCGCAACCCTTTAATGCCTCTTCCCGACCCGCAGTCTGTGATCCTTCTTCCCCTGGAGTCCAACGGTGGGACACCATGCAGTCGCAAATCCAACGATCGACGAACCCTCTAACGTCGCCCTCACGAAGGGATACGTAGAGCAAAATCGCGCACAATCTATCTCATTTTTGCGGCAATGCGCTCAGTGGGCATGGCGGAGCCCCTGAAGCCAACAAATCCCACAAACTCTGCGCCTCGAATATCCACATGGAGCATGGAGCCGACTTGACAGCCAAGCCATGCTCGTGTTCCGATGCCAAATTTCTAAAGTTTTGCTTCAAACAGTTGCCAGCGAAATTCCTGTTTTCTATGCTCGCATCTTTTTGGGCGCATGTGCAGCTGCGGTTCCGTCTGCCACTTTCGCCCACTTCTTGCACTTTCATAAACAAAAAAAGCTGTGTCTAAGCGTTCCTGTATGTGCATCAACGAACCGCCACAGCACTTCATATCCACATGTGCAGGGCATCAGCCTTGTGGAATAGAGGCCAAGAACAGACGGAGTACTGTAGTATATTTAACCTTTCTGCATCAAAGAATTTTACCGTTGCCCTTTTTGCTCCGCATTTTTTCAGAGCCTTACTTTTTTATGTTGTTCCGCCAAAATTTTATTAGTTCTTCTCGGCCAAAAAAAGGCCCAGCGTTACGTTACAATGCGGAAGGGTCAAATATTTCGCGGCACCGGGAACCACGCCTTTGCACTCATTGCGAGCGCGTCGACCTGCAGGTCACCTTCCCCATCTTCCGACGGGCATCGCTCCAGGGACTCTGTCCTCGACCTCGTCCAAGACACCGAGCTGGGCTGTTTCATGGACACGAAGACGAACCACTTCTACGCCCTCAGGCAGTGATGAACAACCGGCACGCTGAAGGGCACGCAGCAACAGGAAGGTTGCGAATGACGCAGAACGACCTGACCGTCGGATCTGTATCGGGGACCCAGGCATGCAACTCAGGGTTACTGTAGGGCCAGGGGGGCATATTCTTCAGGGTTTCTGAGGCTGTTGTCTCAGGTCACAGCGTGGAAGAACAGAGCGGCACTGAAACAGCTCGTTCCCTGCAAGAGAGAATGGAGCGTCTATTGAAAACAACAAGCAGATCTGTGCCATGGCATACCTACACGTGTACTGACTGCAAAAGAGTGTTCCTGCATACAGGGCTCCAATTGCCTATGGGCGTCGAAGCATTGAGCTCGATGCGAATTCTCCTGGAAACGTGCTGAAACATGGTATCCCATGCTACCCATGGCACACAGGAGTACGGTTGAACGTCTAGCAAACGCAGTCTTGAATGGCATTGGTTCCAGTCGACCGATCGTTACACCTACTCGCTATTTGGTCCATTTTGCACTGCCAGAATACCCCACAAGATGATGACCCCACATGGGTTCAGTCGCCGCTGCATCAAATGGATCAAGTTCTCCAACCTAATCATAGACAGTCCAACCACAGCTTCAGTCAATAATAGAAATGTCCAGACCCTCACAAAACACTCTAACTCGCTTTGCACGTCCTTGGCTCATCTCAAAGTCGCCTTTGCAGTTCTCCCCTTGGCCTTCTTCTTGTGTCCTTCCTTCTGGGTGTTCTTCCTTTTCCCCCTTCCAATCATCTCTACCTTTTCAGCCGCCTTTTTGCTTTTGCTGTCCTGTTGGATTGCAGCACATGATGCTTGTTTGGAAGCCCGTCAGCCAGGAATTGCTGCATGGTGTCCTTGTTTGCACATGTGGTGCATGCACAAGACTGCACTATGGACACTGCCTATGACAGATTTTGCTTGCATGATTACCAGGCAACGAATATTGGTCATGCACAGCAATACAAGGTCATCAATTGACACACCTGCCACCCCTTACACTGGTCAAAATATGATCATGATGCAAATTAATTTGCACAGCATGGATTTCCATAGTATACTCAGGTCCAGCACAGTGGCTGCCTTTGTACTTTCCCATCATGGGCTGTGCACCTGTCTGTGCTTCCACAGACATATTCGGGCAAATGGGAGCTACTACACACTTATAGATATCCCATACCCTGCCTGACACCCATGGAGGACATAACAGCATAACAATCAATCACTGTCAACATTCTCAAAGGACAATTGACCACTGTATTTTGGTTTCCAGGCAGGCCACTGCTGCTGATGGGATATGTCTAATACTGTCCTGTCCAGCACATATTTCTACTATCACTGTGTCCATCAGATCTTTGCTACCTCAAACTCCTCTGCAATGTCATCGCTGCTGCTTGCTGCACACTCCCCCTCCTGAACAACCTCCAAGTTCCCCAGCATCCCAGGCATGGACTGGTATATTGGCAAGGATGTGGAATCTTGCGTCTTCAGAAATACACTCAGGATGTCTTCCCAGCCTCCTTGCAAGTGCCGAACAAAGTCGTAAAGAGCCATGAAGATGTTGTCGACGATTTGCGATGGAGAGAAGGAGCTCCAAGCAACACGGGCGCTCCTGCTGGAGCCACCCCATTGGTACATGAATGTCGATTGGCGCATGCGTTGTATGCTGTTCACTGGATTCTTCTTAGCAATGTCCACAAATGCTGGGCATTTTTTCCTCCTAGTGAACTCTTTCCCTGAGTGGCCAAAGCAGCAGAGGTGCAGATAAGCTGAATTATACATGCATCCAACAAACTGTCTTGAGAAAACGACACACTGGTCAAGGCACTTGTCCGTGCTGTGCTCCTAACAGACATCATCTGTTTTCTTGCTTCCAACAAGGACCTTACAATGCTTGGCAAAATTAAAATTCCCCAAATTTCACACCATGACGCAACAAAATTTTCGTGGATATGCGACTCAGGTGGACAGCAGACACTCACAGTGGAGGTTGGCATCCCCTTCATGAACTTGCAAAGAAAGATGTACCACAAAATACTGCAAACATAGTTTTCTTGCGATCTCTGGACACAACACCGTCTGGGATGGAAGTCTGCCAGATTGTTCTGACCCCATGCACCAAAAGGACTCAAAATAACTAAACTCACAGGTGCAAGTGTGCAAGCAGCAGCATCCAGAGGCACCTTCCAGTGACCGTTCCTGTTGCGTATGTTGGAATATCTGCAACTTGCAGTTGATTGATGGGTGAGTGGACAAGCTACAAGATTCGACTGGCTTGCTATGATGCGACCACCCAAAATAACAAATCCACATTCCTCAACAGTCTCCAGCACCAAATTTTCACCAGAACAAAACTGAAACATAGGAGCAATTCAGTGCTCTGAAGGCGGAAGAGTTTGGTCACACACAGAGCGCTGGTGGGAGGCAACCAGCTTGCATGAGGCAAACAATCGCACAGTGCAGCTTGCAATTGTCCCACCTATGTAGTCTGTGGTGACAGTGACCATTCTTTTGTCCATGAGGAAGAGGTCATAGCGCTTAACAAGCTGCCGGCGTGCCTCATACGACTCGTATTTCTTCAACATCTTCTTTGCCCCTAGAACCTTGGCAACGCTTCCAGGCACAAGCAATTCTTTGAATGCTTTCCTTTCCTTATCTGGAGCAACACAAACTTGTCTCACACTTGGAAAGAAATTATCAAGGCAGGCAATGGGCAGGCTAAAGTGAGGGTTTGACTGACAGAGGGTGAAGCAAGAAACGTTCTTTGGATGCCCACAAATTATGTTGTTAAGTGTTTCCATCCTCTTGAAGTTAATCAATGCATTTCTGAGAGATATCACTGCATGCGCCATTTGTACCATCATAGTTGTTCGCAGTGTAGCCCCCTTCAATCTCCAGGCCCAAGCGTGACAACAACCAGCAGCACTTGAGTATACCATTGCAAAATGGCAACATGTGCCATTTCCCAATGGCTTGAGTGTTTTTTCCCTGGTGCTACCCCTTCCCCCGATGGAAAGATGCTGCCTAGGATTCCCTCTCAACAAAAAAGAAACACAGTCCAACAAATGGGCAAATGCGATGCTGCTTGTACCTAGCTCCAGTAAACTTTTGGTGCAGACAGGATCAGCGGTGGGAACTGATCTTCTTTCAAGGCCATCCATAATCAGTGTCATATGTATCACATCCTCAAAACTGGGGGAAAAAATTGCCATTAGAGAACCCAACATGACGTGAACACGCCCTGACAGTAGTGTATGAGCAGCACTGAACACGCTTTGGCGAGCGGGAAGAATACTGGGTACCTTTCCAAGTGCAAAGCGGCAACTGTAGGCTGCTCTACAATTACAATAACAGGGACAGCAATTACATTGCCCAAAAGATACAAAAGGAGGAACCACAATAGACGACCTGCCCAGTGAGTTGACACGGATTTCAAGCAACCCTGTGCGGCAAAACCAAACGTCAGAGAACAGGTCTCTTCTTTTCGTTGGCCCAAGTTGAACAGGAGCATGCCTGCTGTGCTGAAGTGGGAATGCTAACTGGGGCCTAACAGTGCCAATGTTCGAGTAAGAGCAACATGGCAATGCTATTTCTGCTCAAGCTTGTGTGGTTCTATAAATATTGCAGCATCGCCACACCACTTAATACCCTGCCCACTTCGCTTTTCTGATGAGCGGAGCTTCAGTGTAGTTGGGAATGTACAGGCAGGTAAATACTCTACAGCATAGAGCAAGCAGTATGGATGGAACTACGCAAGTCGTTACGTTATAGGTGCAGCGATCGTACTCTGTCATATTTGGCAAGCACAATCGAATGGATTTGCTCTGGCAACAGCCTTCAAATACATCTGCACAAACTACAGAACCACACTAACCGTCTTTGTCCTTCACAATCAGGCACACATCAACATCCTTTTCCATGTAAAGTGGATGGACAAGGCGGCTGCAGCAACACAAGATGCATGTGTCAGTACTACAGAAAGCGAGGTGGGGCCCCAAGGAGGATTACCATCTTGACCTGTGACCTTAAGCAGCAAAGCACACACATCTACATATGTTGGCCAGTAAATTCGCTGCAGAACTTCATCCTGTCACTGCAGGAAGCATTTGGATGCCATGGGCAGCAGCCCAAAGTTGCATCAAAACAAATGGCATGTTTGTTCATCCACCCTCCCATCAGCACCTATGTTTTTGGGCACAGGGATAGGAGGTCAAGCTCAACTGTAGTTTTGACTGGATACCTTCTCTCATTTATTCGATCGACACCTTTGCTGATTGCTTACAAGAGCACTCAATCCAGCCACAGGGAACCTTCACAGGAAAATCTGGGGTCACCAAGATTTCAAGAATGCCTGGATGCGAATGCACACTCTGGATGCAGCTATACTCACATGGGTGTTGGGCTGAGTCGGAATTTAGCTGTTGGAACTTTCTTCAACGTCACCAACTGGCATGAATGGCACACGAAATCATCAGCACTGGTGGCAAACGAGCCAAGGTGGCCAGCTGATTAAACACTTGAAAGCGCGCCTCCATTTTCTGATCAATCCCTTGTTTTGGAACAGCAAATCGATGCCTATCTGCACTTACTGGACGTCCTAGCCATTGCCCAATCCGCCGCTGCTCCCAAACAAACAATGGTCGGCGTTCCACCCTCGCCAGGCACCAAATGCAGCGCCAACATATCCCAAACAGACCAGCGACATGGCAAACGCAACGAACGCAGCAACGCCTCCACATCCCCACATTCCCGCCAAAACAATCGTCACGCAAAATCGACGCTCTACGTCCACCCCAATTTTATGACCATCCAAGTTTTTTGACCATGCCGAGCGAGGGGCGACCGCCAAGCGAGCCCACCATGTGCACAAACTCATCGCCATCTTCAAGCACGTTTCTGGACTCCTCCTTTCTCTGCGCCAGCCAGGCCAGGAGGGCATGCGCCGCCTTCGCGGCCCTGTCGCGCCGCAGGCCGGGGAGCGCCGCCTGCCGCTGCTCCCACCACTCGGCGCATCCGGGCTTGGGTTCGCCGCTGGCCGCGGCCCCAGAAGCGCCACCGCCGGGCTCTTGCGCTCCCTTAGCCATTGGGCGGCCGGTGCACGGCTTCGTTCCGGCTGGACCGGGGGGTGGGCGGCCGCGGCGGAACTGGGCTGGAGTTCTATGACTGCAATGTAACCCATTCAGCTTCATCATCATCATAATATTACCATTGTTACGGCTAGAACTGATTGAGTGTTACTAATAACTGAATGCATGAAAAGATGACGAAGCACTAGGAATTGCATAAAGATGTTGATGAACAGACTGAGTGTAAAGGACGGAACGTCTCTTGTCCTTTTGCCTCGGCTGTAAACCGTTGCCGTGGACACGAGCGTACAATTCCTGTTCAGGGATCGCCACCCCTCGACCCTGCCTACCTTCGTCACCATCCAGTTTCATTGCCACCATTTCACAGGATGCTTTCCTTTGCTGCCTGGTTCTCATATGAGACAAAAGAATTGTCACGCATGACAATCATCACAGCATTCCTGCGAGAAAATGAGGCCGCTGTTCACTGCAATCTTGGGCCTGGCGCAGCCAGATCGAATGGCCGTATGCATGCACAGGCAGCGGTGCGTGAAAACGCCATCGGCTCTTCAGGTGGCAGGAACTTGATTTGTCACATATTTTGGACCCATTCAGCAAACGGAACCCGCACACGCAGTACATGAAGCCCTGCGGCATGTAACTTAGGGCCCAGGCCTCAAATGGCACAACATGCGTCTGCTGGCGTGGTAAGGCACAGATCTGAGCAACAGGTCTTGCGATCCTCGCACACTGCGTTCATTATGCACCCGCATTCGTGATGGTAATTGTACCAATGCATGTCAGTGCCGCCAGCTGGACATCAGACGAGGTCGGCAATTCATGTGCGTGTGCTCGTAGTGGCTACCCCATTGAACATCATGACTAGGGCAAGTGTATGCGACCAGGCCTGGCGCATTGAGTGCAACCAGCTCTGTGGGTGCATGTTTTTGAGCCCACACTGCATTATGAACGGCACAACCATGCAACAGGAACTCACGAGCTGCTGGATTCTTTCAGCATAGAGAAGACACGATGGGGACAGGTATTCAGGGGATGGTTACTGTCTGAGACCCCCCCTTGCTACTGTGACAGACCCAGCAGGGCGTTGACATGGCGATGTCCAACTCGTGAATTGACGCTGGCCTTGCTCGACTTCAGCTACGCCGTGGCACCAATATACCAAAACAGGCCCTTTTTTAGCTGTTCGCCCGCAGTGGCTAATCGCCCTTGTCAGTTGATATTCATTTTTCCACCGAAAGAACAATCCTTGATGAAAATGCCTCGATTGCCCCGGTTGCACCATCCTGGAGCCGCCTTTATTCTGCCTCCGACTGCTTCCCTTTAGGCTTACAAAAAGCAACGAATCCATTACAAAAACCTGGACAAAAAAAGTTAAATCGCCACGTGCTTGCTTCAACAAAATGCAACCACAAGCCAGTGAACCAAATTAGGCTGAGAACCACCACAACAAAATCAAGCCAGGGATCATAGCTTGTGGATATCCACTCCACTGCAGTCCCTGAAGCGCCCATATCCCAGAGGCTCCATGCAGGTCCCCCTGGCCAAGTTCTTCTCCCAAACCTCCAAAAACGGGGTTGCAATTTCCAAAATGCTAAGAGCCCAAAACCGCGTGTGTCCTCCTTGTTTTCTTCTCACAGGTCCAATCCACCACAAAACCCCAACCGTCCCATTCCTGCCTGTCAGCTGCGGCCACCCCTGGCAGGCCGCCGCAGCAACGTCACCACCCCGTGGGGACTGGCCAGTCCCACCATCCCCATCCTCTCCATTCATTTCCTCCCCTTGGTCATGGTGGCATACTGGCTCTTGGCGGGTTCCAAGATGTTGTACAGCACCCAGCCTATGGCGGGAAGTACGATGAACAGCACGCCCCCCAGGCGGTTGTCCGCATCGGCCACCTGGCCCACCACAGTCGCAGCATCGGCGCTCTGAGCTGCCCAGATGCCGCCAGCCCAAGGCCTGCCACAACGCCCCTCTTCCTGCTGATGCTCTTCTTGGTCTTGGGCCTGGGCTTGGCAGCCCTGGGCTTGCCGCCCTGCATGCCCTCCAGTTGGTTCTGGGCGGGCCCCAGGATGTTGAACAGCACCCAGCCCAGGGCGGGCAACAGGATGAAGATCACGCCGCCGAGGCGGTTGCCTGAGTCCGCCACCAGCGCGAGCTCCTGGGACGCCTGGGCGCTCCCCGCGGCGAGCAGGCTGGACGCGGCGGCGCCCAGGGCGGTGGCCTTGGCGACCTGCGGCCCCAGTACATTCCGGTGCGTGCTCGATCAGCGAATGGACACTGTGGGCCAGCCATGCGATGCCAGTCGCTGAAAGCTCCCACGCACTTCGCCACTCCCTGATGGGGGGGAAAGTTACGAGGATCCGGCGGTTCTGCTGGGATGACGCCTTGAAATACTTGGCATGCTGTAGGACTGCAGGTGTGTTGACGTCCGGCACGAACTAAAGTCACGCGCGCGATACCCGGAGAGCATCGGCGTCCGTTTCGATTCCGCCGTGCAGCCGATCGATTCAATGCACGCCTGTCCACTGGACGGGCAGTCCCACGGGCAGAGCGCGGCCGAAGCCCGCAAGGTCGGGGTCACGTCAGGGCGGTGCTCGCAGACCCGAGCTCGTTGACGTCCGCGTGACGATTGATCCCCGTCCACGCTCGCGAGCCTCCCGAGGGCGTCGCGCCCGCCGATCTCGCCCCGCGCCCCCTTCCCCCAGGCACGCAAGCACAGCTCGCTCTGAAGACACAGAAATCCGACATGCACCAACACACGCCCCACCGCCTACCCCCCCCACCCCACCGCGTTCTTGCGTTGTGTGCTCATCCTTTCACATCGGAGACTCTATATCATCTTCTCACACCGTGGAAAGAATCTCGCATGCACTTGATTAGGAGGAGGTGCCCTTTGCAGGACCTGTTTCTTTCTCTCTTTGGTAGCAAATGTTTCCCACAGCATATCCATTCCATCCGCCAGGCCGGCCCCAAGCGAAAAAAGTCCCATCCACCGGCGAGGAATGCCCAATCATCGCCAAATCGCGGGGAACGCAATTGCACAGGGGGCCGGAGGCCCCCGCGTTTACCTCCTTCCGCTCGGGGGCGGATGAGCACTCCCTCCCAGAGGCGACGGCCTGTCTGGGCGGACCGCACCGCCTGCAGAGCGGCGTCCCATGGAGCCCACCCGCCCAACGGCCCTGCTGCAGCAGCAGCGCGCGCGTCGTGGCGCCGGCGGCCATCTCGCCGAGTGACAGGGGATGGCGCGGGCGGCGGGCTGCGCGGAGGAGGCTGGGCGGGCTGGAGCGCACAGTTCAGCGGCGCCGATATCCTGACGGACCAAAAGGTCCAGAGATCGCACTTAGGGCGACGGACGTGGCAGGGCATGGAGGGGAATGTATGACCCGGGAGGTGGGGCAGGGCACTGCCACGTTGCAGCTGCGAAGGAGTCTTACTTCGCAGCTGCTGCGCCGAAACCTGAACATGCACAGTGGAGCTCACACTAAGCCTTTCCTGGGAACACTGCTCGACAACGCCAGCTTGGTGATAGGGCTTGCTTTGCCATGATTCTGGCAAATGTAATTGCAACGGATTTCCACACTAAGTCAATTTCGAAAACTGACTCAGCAACATAGCCAGGCTTGGTTTTTACGCCGTAAAAACTGATGGTGCTTACGTTTTTACGCGTAAAAATGCGTAAAAATACGTAAATACAACGTAAAAACTGCTTGGTGTACATAAGGACAGTACATTCAGATTTACTGACTCCGGAGAGTGGCAGACAGACGCCTTGGAAGAGGCAGAAAACGAGTTTTTGTTAAGCGCCATTGTCTCCCCCTGCCAATGGCGAGGTG